CCGCCCCGCCCTCCCCCGAGCCCCGCCCGGCGCGGGGCGGGCCCTGGGGGGCGGCGGGCGCCGTGACGGGCCTGAGGGACGCGGTCGGGGTTCCCCGCACGGGCGGCGGCACCGGCCGCCTCCTCCGCGCTCCCCTCGCCGGGTCGCGCCCCCTCAGGCGCGGTGCTCTCCCCGAGGGGAGGGCCCCATCCCCGCCGCGCTATCGGGGAGCGGCAGCCGCGGCCTGAGGGGAGCCGCCGCCGCCTGGCGGGACAGATAGGCCGAGGGGTGAGCTCCCGGGACGGGGCCCGCGGCTCGGTCAGAGCTCCGGGGCGGTTTCTGCCCCGCGGCTCCCTGTGTCCCCGCGAGGGGAGTGGAGCAGGGCGAGTTCTGAGCTGCGGCCGTGCCGGCCCCGCGGCGCTGGGCCATGGCCTCTGAGGAAGAGGGAGGGCAGAAGCCGAGGCACCACAGGAACGTTCCGGTGATTATAACCCCCCCTTCCCGGCACCCGCCGCCTCCCGCACCCCGGCGGGGCTGAGGCGGTCCCGGCTCGTACCCGCGGAACTACTCTCTAGGAGGAAGCTGCGATTTTTAAGCACTTTGTGTTGTATGAAGGGCCTGGGGAGCCAGCTGGGAGCCCCACTGGAAATGCATTACACAAGTAACTAATGGAGTGATGACATGGCTGGGGGGGGGAGGAAAAGAAAGAATAGTTGAAGTCTTGATTTCTGAATGTTGCAATGAGGTGTCTCCTAATCCCTTAAATAATAGGTTAAGTGTACAGTAAAGGCAGGTTACGACTTAGTCATTTCCCAGCTCTCAGGAAATGAAATCCAGGAGGAAGCACGCTGTTTAGGGTGTGATTTTTAGCTCAGGACCCCCAGGGGTGGTTGCCTTGTGACCACCAGAGGAGTACGGGCGAGTCCTTGCCTAAAAGCTTCCAAGGCAGTAGCTGACCTTGCCCAAAGGGAGCAGGAGTGTAAAGATCACCCAGCAGAACGAAGCGACCACAACTACAGCGCTCGCTCGTCAGCCTGCAGCCAGGCTGGGGGCTGTAGCCCCAGGACACAAACCCAACTGCAAGTCCTCACTCTTCTCCAGCCTCCTCCAACCGAGTCCAGGAACGTTTTATTTGGAAACTCAGACCCTTCTCGTCCCTTCAGGTGGCTCTGCCCAGACCTGGGGAGAGAGACTACGGTGACTCCCCTGCGCTGGTTAGTCAGGGGTGAGCAAACCTCCGTCACAGACCTGGTGATGTTTGATGCTCCACCTGATGGAGCAGGTTGGACGAGGAGGACACCTTCATCTCAGGATGAAACACCAAAACCGTGATGCGCCTGGGGGCTACAGACCACCCTGAGCCTCCTCCAGCCCAGCTTGTCAGTGGTGGTTCCTCCCACCTGGTCAGATACCATCAAACATTCCCTGCATCCAGGGCCCTTCACTGCCACCTCCCGACTGATGTCTGTGAGGATCTGAGCAATGAAGTGGAAAAGGAAAATACATTTTCTCTGAAAATAATAAATTTAGAAGAAAACGTCTTTCACATAAGGAGGGAATGATATGTGATACTATGATATATGTTTGCTAGGAAAAAAATTACTTCCAAATTTACCATTCTTTTTTTGGTATTACCCGTTTGCCAGGCAATATAAATAACAACAGAGACACAACTAGAGATCAGACAGTGTCCTAAGTTCCATCCTCACCAAGTCTCTGCAGAGCTTCACAGGCTCAGTGTGTGGGGAGAATCACAGAACCGCCAAGAACTGCGCGACGGCTGGGAACATGTTAATTAGAAAAATACTATGTATTTACACAGCGCATTTAAAGTAATTTAAACATTTGGATTAAAACAGCAAAGAATTATTCCCATTGTATAGATGAGGAAATTAAGGCACAAAGGAAAAAAAAAGCAGCTCAGCTGAGCTGGGAGTCAGAGAACTCCTGCCTTTCTTTTTGGAGAAATCTAAAGGTTTCTACTTAGAAGAAACAAATAAAAATGAGGTAGATCGGGCCTTGTGGTCATTTTACAAAAGACACCCATGGAATGTGTAGCACGTACTGAAAATCAAAGCAAGACCATCTTAAAAAATCCTGCTGTGGCAATTTTAGTACAGAAACCGCCTCTATTTTTTCTCCTGTTTGGCCTCCAGTATCCCTAGCTTTTAAAACATCCCCAACACTTCTCTTCCTTCCCTTTTAAAGGCTGAAAAGTGTCGTGAGAAATGTCTTCCTTCACAGAGAGCAGTCTTCCATGGAGGACGATACCAGCTAAAAATCATGAAAACAGTAGCCAGAGTGTAATATTTAATATAAATCTTTATGGTTCTATGTACTAGAAATGATTGCAGAAGAAACACAGATGTGTAGAACACGAGTTCTCTTCCAATCGTATGATACAAGACTCAGCCTATCAGTACAATGACATTTTTGCAAGTATCAAAAAAATAAAGCAAACCAATATTACATTACACCGTCAAGACAACCCAAATAGTGATGTGCCTCACAAAATCTGTACAAGTTACTCTTCAGCAGATGGTCCTCGCTTGCTGCCAAACGACAACGCTCGCTGCTGATGGTTTGGGGTTGGTTTTTTTATATTTTTTAATATTTTTTTTACAAAATGCTGACTACTAGCTAAGCAAGTGATGCCCCTGTGCTACTTGTCCTCAGCCACTTATCAACTTGTTTAGGATTTAGGTATCAAGAACCCAAGATGCAAATGTGAAATGAGCTGGGTTTGGTGCAACCACATCTTTAAGAGCAGTCCTTTAGGTCGTCAAGACACACGCAGTGACACCCTTCTCCAGCTGAAGGAATTTAATACAACCGGTATTTTTTCCAGAAAAACTGTGTTCCTGTGAACCTTTGCTCAGCTCCTGCTCCCCGGAGCTGTACCCACAGCCCTGGTCACCACAGCCTCTCCCCGTCGTCGGTCTCGGGTCGATCCAGCACCGGTTCCCCAGGTGGCTGATGAGCACCGGCCAAGGCAGCGGGTGACAAAGGTGACCCCGGAGGGAAGGAGGAGAGAGGAGCCAGCATTCCATCACTCCATCACCCCATCACTGGATGGCCGGGAATGCTGCTGCCATCCCAGGTCTTCCTGGCAGTCTGCACATCCCAGCTTCAGACTATTCACGGAATGGATTTTAAACTCCCTTTTAACTCCAAACCTCAAGACAATGTTTTTGCCTGAAGATTGCTATTAAAGACCGTGGATGGACGACTCCTCCCGGGAAGAGCCGTTTGTCTCCCCAGACCCACGACACTGACCTCGCTGTCGGGAGGCGCGGGCCGTGACGGGGTGTGCTGCGTCTGACGCTCACCCCCTCCATCGCCTGTGGGACTGCAGCTGCTTTAATTTTTCTTTGTATCCATCTTTGATAACGAGTTTAAAGAAGTTTATGGCACGAACTGGCATGACCGCAGGTCACAGGTACCATCTCTCCTCTGTCACAGACACCCACACAAGTCCTTTCACCAGAAGAGCGCTGCCTGTTTAACTAACGCTCTGCTCGCGGCGGAAGACGTTATTTTAATACAGAGTGATTAGTTTCTCTTGGCACCTGCCGGAACAAACCCCTCCAGCTGAGCTGTCTCACACAGTAGGTAGTGTCCACTTTTTAAACAGAGAGCTGGTGGTGAATGTTGACTCTCTGGCCTTGACTTCTTGAATTCTACAAAGTTACAGCGCAGGGATCCGTACTGGAGTCATTACAACTCCACATTCATTTCACACGGAAATGTTAGCTTTGCAAAGGGGTGCTCTCCCAGAGGAAGGGCACGGAGCACAGCGAGGGAGGGAAGAAGGCACCAGTAACTTTTCTAATTCCCCACTCTAGGGCATACTCAGCACTACTCCAGCACGAGGAGGCACAGCAAGGGTGACACGACTGGTTCAGCAGCCCCAATTCCCTGTGATACAGGGCCTTGCCTTCGTTTTCATATAAATTGTGCAGTTATTAACCTCATCTTCTACTTTACTGTACTAAGGAGTTGGTTTAGACAAAGAATAAAAGGTAGGATTTGCAAAGTGATGCTGTAAGGAAGCCAGAACCAGAAGGGCAAATAAAGGAATATGGGTGTTTACTCAGAGCCACACTGTTGCTGTGTTTCTGGACAGCTTTCCCTACCCACCCAACACGCTCTGCCGTTGGAGGTGCCTTCAGAAGGACCCACGGTCGTTCTGCTGGTGGTGGAGGAGCTGATGAGATTTCCCCCCACTCCACCTTCTCCTCATCCACTCCCTTCCTGGTCCCCCTCCCCATGGGGGCTCAGTGCTTTTTCAGCTGCACCAGTCCAGCCAGTATACTACCAGTGTGTGAAAGCACTGAGTCTGGGGAGGGGACACGTTGTGCTGCCCAAAGGACACTGGCTCCTCGCAGCCAGAGAGACCAAACTGCTCCCACCACCGGCCCGGCCCCGCGGCCTGTCCCCCTCAGCTCACGTACCTCCTCAGCTTTGGGAACGCTTGGAAGGGTTTGTCTAAAGAAGATCTGGCTCCTTCGCAGGCCTTGGGCTGATCCCGCTCTCGGCTGGGGGAGACTTTGTAATTAGGTCTTGAAACAGTCAGGCTTTCTGATACGTTTCAAAAGTAATGAAAAAATGCTTTCCCACATAGATGGAAAGTGAAATGAATCAGAAGGTGGAGAGGAAGGCAACACCACCAAGGTGAAGGCTGATCTGGCTATACAGCAACTTAAGGGAAAAAAAAAAAAAAGAAAAGACTGAACATGTATTGCCAAAATAAGTATGGAAGACGTTTTGCTGTCAGAACCAAGAGTGCTCCAACCTAGAACAGAATACACATGGACGTGTAAAATTAACACACAATTACCATGATCAAGCAAAAGAGCACAAACGAAATCATTAACAACTTTGGAAATAGGACTTCGTTTTCTAAAAATACATAAAATTGGAATAAATGATGCAGCTTCAAGATTAAGTGCTGAAGCTGCACAGTTCTACATTCAGGACTGGAGCGATGCACGTGTCTGAGACTCCCCTGCTCTCGGTGTCAGTTCTGGGGGTACAGATTGATCCAACTCGGGTCAGAGGGACAGAGGAGTCTCACCCTCCAGACTGATCAGAGGGAGCTGGAGAGATGCACGTGGCTGAGACTCCCCGCTCTCGGTGTCAGTTCTGGGGGTACAGTTTGATCCAACTCGGGTCAGAGGGACAGCGGAGTCTCACCCTCCAGACTGATCAGAGGGAAATAAAACCTGACGGATTGTAACTTCGCCTCACACAAGGACTGTTTATGCTAGAAGTGTCTGACATTTTTAGGAACTTAGATTTTGAAGAAGGTAGACTCATTCTGCAGAGAAAGTTCAGAATGATAAATACCAGACTTGCAGCACATTAAAATATTAATATTTAATATGTTTACTAAGCAGTCTCTGTTACTGTCGCTGTGCATCTATGTAGAGCTAAATCCCTCCATTTACATTTTGATTTCCCTCACTGATCTGATCATCACAACACAGATACAGCTGTAAAGTGCAATGTATGCTTTGGTTTCCTTAACTAAAGAAAGCACTTTTCGAATGGTTTTAGCCAAAGATCGGACCCACGTGGTTAAGGACATTATTTGAACAGATGATTGGCTCTTTTTACAGTCGGAGAAAAGCGATGAGCTACTTAACAAAAGTCGTTTCATTCTGGTAGAGTAGTGAATTTTAAAGCAGTTCTGTTACGTCAGTTACTTGGAGGAATTTGGAAGAATTCCACATTAACCAAGGATTCACTGTTAAACTAATTAAAAATCTCCGCTTTAGATTTACATTTTAAGGAACAACTGAAAAATAGTTGGCAAACCATGTAGCAATTCAAATACAAGCTGACCATTTTCAAAATCTATAAATATTTCCAGAACCATCTTATCGACATAAAACCAGGAAGGCTCGGGGCTGGTTACAGGGTTCACACGTCTGCGCAAAAGCATATATAAAGGTAATGTTATGTACATTTTATTTCAATAAAGACATAAGACAAACAGCGTAAAGATGCCCAGATGCCCTAAAGATAAATACATTTAAAAGATTCTCATTAAAATGAATCTGTAGTATTTCTTTCCTGCAAGCAAAATACCTTTCTTTAAATACAAAAAAAATCAGTATTCTGAATTGCAAATGTTTTCACTTTTTTGCAGAAAATCTGCCATGATGATTTTTTTTTTTTAATGAATAAGGATTTTCCACAAAACAGGCTTGCTCTACATGCTAAGTTCTTTAAACAGTTCAGTGACACAATGTGCTAACTACATACACAACAGATAATATAGTAAGAAAACACTCAACCTGATGAAAAGTTAAAATCTTCATTAATACACTGGAAAAAGTTGACATAACTCATGCCTTTTAAAATCAAAAATACAAAAATTAAATGTTTTCCTAAAAAGATTTTCCTTATTTTAAGGACTCATTTGAAAATGAAGCTGCATGTAATTTGTACAATAAAATTGTACAAGTAAACAGGTAATATACATAAAAAATTAATTGACATACTTCTCAATTATCAGTTGTCCACCTTTAATTTCCAATACTGTACTTTCTTAACAAGCATACAAAATATCAAACTTCTCTTTAGAAAAAGTGCCGTTCTGTGACATCTTTTACACAAAAACAGTCTGAGCCTGGGGCGCGTTAATGCAGTCGAGAGGCAAAGCGTCCTCACTTTTACAAATTATCCCTTCCATAAAAAGCCTCCCGAAAAGGAGATTACACCCCGTTATAAAAATATCGACCTCTGTAGTAGCTGCATTAGAGACCCAAGGCTGAGAGACTATTTCCATAGCAAACCAGTATGATAGCAGGCGGCGGGAGCTGGCACGCCGCGGGGACACCGGCAGCGGCACCGGGCGGCCCCGGCAGCCCCTGCCCCACACCCCCCAACACGGAGCCGCTGCGGGACCGGGGGTCTCGCAGGAGAGAGAAGGCAGCAGGAATCGCATCGCACCCAACCTACCGGTGCCCAGCCTGGCTCTGCTCTGGAGACCTGCACGGCGGCGCCCGAGGTATCCCTTGTCCGTCCGTCTGTGCCACCGCAGGGGATCGGCCATCCAGGGCACGTGCCATCACAATGGTTTAAAATATTCTGAATATTAGTAATTCATATATTCTTCTTATCTAGCCAGTCTCTTGATTTTGTTTTTGAAAAGATTTCAACTACAGTAGAATATTACAGAAAGAAAATATAAATGCAGGGTTGGTTTTTTTGTTTTTTTTTTTTTTCTTTCTAAATGAAACTTACATGGACTAAAAACTAGAGAATATCTGGAAACAAATATACAGTATGCAGGCAGACGAAGCAGGAAAACGGCCATCCAACTGTTTAATAAAAAAACTAAGAAAATTTGGCTATTTCCAGAAAAAACTATGAAGCGCCTCAACTAAAAGGAATGCATAATGAAATTCTAATCTAATACAGGTCAAAAATGTAAAAAGGTTATAAACCTTAACAGGAAAAAATAAAACAACTTTTACTGGCCATTCCTGTTGAAATGAGAATCTTAAAAGTAACAGAAAAGTGGCTACAAACCCACTTAGAGCACCGAACAGAGAGAAAATCAGAGTCCATTTTCAATCTCTGTTATATCATAAAATCCTGTGTTTCTACAGGTCAAACTGCTGGTGGCAGAAACAGAATTCTTTATAAACTGCAGATGTCCTGTACATTAAAAAATTTTCCTTGGAGTTGCACTAGTTCTAAAGACTTTTCTGTTCTAGCCTACCTCCCGCGCGGTACTGGATTGTACTGGGTGTGTTCAACCTCCAACATCCAAAGTCTCTTCCTGTAACCCTTGATTATTGTTGGGCACCAAAGATAAGAAAAGCAAGACGGGGTACAAAAATGCAAAATTTCAACAGTAATGGCAATGTTTTGTTTTAGTCCAAAAGGGTCCTGCATTTTCTCCCCCTTCAGGAATCAGACAAAAGGCTTTAATCCGGGGGTAGCAAGTCATGCAAGCGAAATCTGTCTCTGATGTGAGGCCGCACGTCTTCGTTCTGCGGGGGGGAAAAAGGTGCGGGTTTTAGGAGAACACACACAGCCATAAACCAGATTGCAACAGGGTCAAGCTTCTAACACCCCTATTTTACTATAACCAAATATGAGCTGTGACTATCTGTAATTAAGAGACTTCCAGAAATAACTACATTGCTGTTCACAACTATTTAGGAGCACTTTATTTGCATTTTAAGAATAAAGGCACACGCATCCCAGCCAACAATAGACATTATTTAACCTAATTGCCTACAGATTCCCAATTTCCTTGTCATTGATGTTACAATTCTCCATTTCTTGATTAAAAGCACAGTTAGAAATAACGAGGTTCTGTCTTTTACTATGTAAATCACTCCTTATGCAAACCTTAATTACTGCCCGGAGTATCCTTTTCAAACCCAGATACACACAGCTCTTAGCAGTCTCAATCTCTGTGACTCAAAACATCTTAAAATATGGGAAAATACTTAAAAGAGGTAACTAATGTTTTTGGGCAGGGGGTGGGGAAGAGCCGATGAAGGAAACACTTACCAGCTCTACAAGTTTCTCCAGAAATGGAATCAATTTTAGAAGTTCGTTGTCATTTTTATCCATGAACCAGCTTTCTATAGGGATTCCATTTGAAAGCTACAGTTAAAAAAAAATATAAATATCATCAACATGAGATTTATACTTCATGTATCTAAAAATATGACTTATGAAATAGCATTTTTGGGAAAAATGTTTCCAAGCTAAAGTTTATTAATATGTATTTCCCCTCTAAAGTTTGCATTGAAATTCATTTCCAAAATATCCCCTTCCTTTGCACACATCGCTACTAAAATCTCCACATCAAAGCTGGAACAGAACCAGCCCTGAGAGCCCTGCTGAGCTGGAAAGAGATGGTATTTTGAGCCAATTTCATGTTAAACCCACAGGGATGCTCCCCGTGTACTGGCTGTCCCAGTGTGGGCAAGTTGGGCCTAGTCAGGCATGTCTGGGGTTTTTTTTTTTGCTTCTCTCCTGCAGGTGAGACGTCCCAGATCTCACTGGGGACCTCTGTCTGTGTGATCACAGAATCACAATGGGCTGGAAGGGACCTCTGGAGATCACCCAGTCCAACCCCCTGCCACCTCGGTCTGTGTGATCACAGAATCACACGGGGCTGGAAGGGACCTCTGGAGACCACCCAGTCCAACCCCCTGCCAGAGCAGGGCCACCCAGAGCAGGTCCCACAGGAACGTGTCCAGGTGGGGTTTGAATGTCTCCAGAGAAGGAGACTCCACCACCTCCCTGGGCAGCCTCTGCCAGGGCTCTGCCACCCTCACAGCAAAGAAGTTCCTCATCATGTTGAGATGGAACTTCTTGTGTTCAAGTTTGTGCCCATTTCCTCTTCTCCTGTCCCTGGGCACCACTGAGAAAAGCCTGGCCCCATCCTCCTGACACCCACCCTTGAAGTATTTATAGGCGTTGATCAGATCCCCCCTCAGTCTTCTCCAGACTAAAAAGCCCCAAGTCCCTCAGCCTCTCCTCCTAAGGGAGATGCTCCAGGCCCCTCAGCATCTTTGTAGCCTCTGCTGTGCCCTCTCCAGCAGTTCCCTGTCCTCCTGGAACTGGGGAGCCCAGAACTGGACACGGTATTCCATGGGACTGACTGGGACGGTTACACACCGTGCTTCTGGGGAAAGCTAAATCACAGGGTGAACTTTACCAGGTTTAAGCATAAGCCACTTTCACTGTGTGTCATTTCAACCAGCGATTCATCCTTAAAGCACAGTCGGGTGTCATTTCAACCAGCGATTCATCCTTAAAACATCTCACTGGCTTTAACTAACTAAACCCACAGCAGAGTTAGCAAACGGGGGTTCCTCAGGAAAGCTGTGTGAGGAGGGAAAGTGCCTGGGTAAGGGCCTGCTCATGGGAGGAGTCACTTAGTTTGCACTTGACCAGCTCTTCACAGAGAGAGAAAACGACCCTGAGTGACTGAGCAACCTGGTCTGGTGGGAGATGTCCCTGCCCAGGGCAGGGGGTGGGAACTCGATGATCTTTAAGGTCCCTTCCAACTCTAACCATGCTGTGATTTGTTGGAGTTTGGTTTCTAAATTTAAATACAAATTTCAGCACAACACTTGCTAAGTGCAATCAAAGAGTAGTGTTTGGCTGTCTCCCTTCAGGAGGGATTTTGCCATCCCGAGAGCCCTTACCTGATAAGCAAAGGCTTGCGGTGAATTGTCAATGATGATCGTTTTTGAAAGATCTCTACCGAGAATGTTCAAATCCTTTATGTAATTTCCTTGTACACAAACACAATGCTCACGGAAAAGTCGATGCCTGTGATTAAAGTAAAATACTAATTAATGAGGCAAATGACATCGTTGGCATTGCACAGAGGAAAAGAAGAGTTAACTTCGCCAAATGTTACCCAGTTCTTTTCTCTTCTGATCTACTTTGCTGCTCTTAAAGTACTGATCCCCTTTTTCCATTCTCTTGTGAGCTTTTTACTGGTAAAAGTACAAGTGAATCTAGTTCTGCGGGAGGTTGGTTGTATTTAAACAGAAAAGCTCAACTTGGATGTTACAACTGTGTGTCCACGGGCTCTTTCTAACCCTTTTTGCAGATGGGTCAACAAAGGGACCCTGAATCCCCAATGATTTTGCAGGGCCCCAGGATGGGTGGGGAGTCCTGCACAGGAGCTGGTTTATTGGGGTTTCTTATCACTCAGTTTTGGTCCAGCTGGTCCAGCACCCGCTGCCTGCTGGAACAGAAAGGAGCAGGAGAAATGTTGGCTTTTTCACGTTACCCCTGTCTGCAATTAACCTATTTCAGTTATTGGAGCTTGAAAAAAGCCTCCAGGCCAAAACATTCCATCAACTTCTTCCTTTCCAATTAGTCTACTCCCTTTTAATTTATGACACAAGAAATACATAGAAAATGGATGGAGAGACTAAAAGGACTCAGATTAAAAAAATATATCAGGAATAAAACTGGAATTTCATGGAATATCAATGTAATTATAATTTAAAAATAAATTGTAAATGAGACAGATTTTGCGTTTTACAATGCAGTTTCTTTAAGGCTGCTTGGGGTTTCTTATCACTCAGTTTTGGTCCAGCTGGTCCAGCACCCGCTGCCTGCTGGAACAGAAAGGAGCAGGAGAAATGTTGGCTTTTTCACGTTACCCCTGTCTGCAATTAACCTATTTCAGTTATTGGAGCTTGAAAAAAGCCTCCAGGCCAAAACATTCCATCAACTTCTTCCTTTCCAATTAGTCTACTCCCTTTTAATTTATGACACAAGAAATACATAGAAAATGGATGGAGAGACTAAAAGGACTCAGATTAAAAAAATATATCAGGAATAAAACTGGAATTTCATGGAATATCAATGTAATTATAATTTAAAAATAAATTGTAATCTAGACAGATTTTGCATTTTACAGTGGTTTTACAATGCAGTTTCTTTAAGGCTGCTTATCTTTTTAAAGGAAGTTTTTAGAAGCTGCACACAGTGTGCTTCATTTCATCAAGGGGTTGAGTTCCTGATGTTGCTATGGAGGAAAATAAGCTGATGCCTCAGCAGCAAATGAATTTATATATAGATCCTGAGTCACACGTGTGGAGTCCTGACACGTCTCCCTTTCGGGCTGATGTCAGAGCCAGCCGTGCTCGGTGGCAGCCTGGCAGTGCCACACCAATCACAGCCACTTCGTGCCTCACACCAATCCTTCTGCAAGTTCTTCGAATACTGTTTGGCTCTCTACTTTATTAGCTTTTTCCTGTTCCTAACACAGTTAAAACTGCAGTCCCGAGTCACACGTGTGAGGATCCTGGAGAGGGGTGTGTAAGGCCAGGGCTGCACGCTCAGACCCATCTGCTGCAAGTGCAAACCCCTCCCTGGCTCCTGCTCCCCCCTGACTGCGGGATTTCGGTGACTCAAAGGATTTGAAACTCTGGTTTTCTTTGCCTGCTCAAAATGCAGCGGCACATTTACCAAAACCAAGTGAGGCTTCTGTTGTGCGCTCCACAAAAACAAGCCGTAAGACGACTCTTCCTGGATGGAAACTAGTGAGCAGTTTATTTTCACACTCTTAAGGGGAATGAGTTACGATGTGCCTGAACCTCCCAGTGAAAGCAACAGATGCAACCACTGGCTCAGGCCAAATGGGAATTTTATTACGTGTGTAAAGAGAATCAAGTTTTCAGTGAAGAATGTGACAATAAAATGTCACAGAGCAGTGCTTTGCCAGTGACGGCCCAGGCACAGAGCTTACACAGCTCCAACTCTACTCAAGCCCAGTCATTGACTTCCCTTCCCTGGGACACCCTGCGGAGGGGAATCCCTGGGAACACCCCTCTTATATTTCAGCATTCCGTGTAACAGCCCACCTTCCAGGGCAATCCCTGGGAACACCCCTCCTGTGTTTCAGCATTCCCTGTCACAGCCCACCTTCCCCATGAGCATCACACAGAGAGCCTCACACGGCAGGATTCCCTTATGCCTTAAGGAACTGCTGGTGAGCAATGCCCATCGCCTCCAAACGCAGCTCAGGGTTCAGAAGAGAAAGGAAAAACCAAACCAGATCTACTGTAAAACCCACAAATTATTTTGTGATTGAGTAAGAAATAAAAACATGCTCATTGTAAAGATAACTATACACTTTGTGGTTTATAAATAAAGTTTGAATAGTTTAAAAGCAATCTCCATTCATTTTCTTTGTTTGTAAGGTGTACCCCAAAGCAGCTCAAACACGGTTTTGAGCCCCAGGAGGCCACTCCCGTGAGCGAGGGGGGCAGGTTTGGCCACGGAGGGCAATGCAAAGCTCTCCGGGTTTACCTTATCGCCAAGACAAAAATCAAATCATTCATTTCATTTGTCTCTCACTCCAAGACCAGACAAACCCACAAAGAATCAGTTGGGTGACACACTGCAGTAACGAACGTGCCCCAATCAGCCCTGCAGCGCGTTCGTTAGGGAAGAGCAGTCAGTTTGTTACGACAGGTACAGTCACAGTGCTCTGCTTTTACCTGACCAGTTGCTTTTTAGGGTCTAGTATGTTCAATAACTTGTCTGCATACACCTTCTTAGAAGCGGTAAAAAGAATGATCTATGGATTAAAGGGGAAAAAGCAATTATTTTAGATATAAGTGCGTGAATATAATTTAACAATGAAATTCAAAGGTAGTGTCTAATTGAGTTTACCTCATAAATCTGAGACATACGTTCCAGGAATTCTCGGAAGAATGGCCTTAACCGGACATACACCTGAAGCAAAGAGGGACTTTTGTTAAAAAGATTCAGAATACTTCAGCTGTGCTTCTAAGTATCAGTTTGTAAAGATTAGGGCAAAATGAGCATTATGAACAGAGGAAGCAGCAAATATTAACTTCCTCCGGAATAACAACACAATTAAAACACCATTAAATTAGCTTGCAGCCTAAGCAGCTGTAAGTGTAAGGCTAAAATGATAAAATTGGGCTTAACAACGTTCCTGGAAAATTTGATGGAATTAGAAATAATTTCAATTAAAATACAAAAGTTGGCCAATCGCTATAGAAAAAAATGAAACTGGTTGCTTTGACTAAACATTTTGACTCAGCTTTCACCAGCTGGGCAGCATCAGCTCAGTAACGAGACGTGTGCCAGCACATGAACTGCATCATCTTAATAACCTTCCCTCTTCCACTAAGAATTACACGTTGAATATGGGGGTGTTAGAAGTGATTTGGAAAAAAAAAACAAAAAACCCCCAAAAACAAAAAAGAGGTTTCAGCTGTTTCCAAATTTCCATAAATTCAAATTCCACCAGCACAGAAGTGCACAAAGACGTAATGATAAAATTGGGCTTAACAACGTTCCTGGAAAATTTGATGGAATTAGAAATAATTTCAATTAAAATACAAAAGTTGGCCAATCGCTATAGAAAAAAATGAAACTGGTTGCTTTGACTAAACATTTTGACTCAGCTTTCACCAGCTGGGCAGCATCAGCTCAGTAACGAGACGTGTGCCAGCACATGAACTGCATCATCTTAATAACCTTCCCTCTTCCACTAAGAATTACACGTTGAATATGGGGGTGTTAGAAGTGATTTGGAAAAAAAAAACAAAAAACCCCCAAAAACAAAAAAGAGGTTTCAGCTGTTTCCAAATTTCCATAAATTCAAATTCCACCAGCACAGAAGTGCACAAAGACGTAAATTATTCCCTGTAAAACATCAGAGTCAGGAGAAGAGATACCAATTTAGAAGAGATCTGCATCTCTCTCTGATTTACCCCAGAATACCAGACTCGGGCTCACGTGGAGGTATCTATATACGTTATAACTGGGGCAATGGCCAGCACCAGAACCCCCCAAGCCCTGCTCTATTCCCGAGGCACAACGGGCACATTTCTATGTGAAACCTCTGTTTGGTGGCCCAGGGTGAGGGGTCTTGCACCGATCTGTGCTTCACCGTCACCAACAGCGGTGACACTGATGCCAAGGGGGGGAACTGCCAGCCCTACACACCACTTACCTTCCCTTGTGGTTCAGGAATTGCCCACATAGAGAATTCCAGGTTTGAGGAAGGACTTACTGAAATCTCCAGAAAAAGAAGGGAGTGGCCTGAACTTCCCATTGCAACCACAGTAATTTCAGCTTTGTCAATTTTTTAACAGCCAGTTAGGAACAGGCTTAAATTTACCTTCAAATCACAGTAAATCTTCACAAAGAGTTTGTATTATTGAACTGATTTATATGTGGACACAACCAAGTGCTCATCACACCCTGCTATTTCAATGGCAACAAATTCTAAATTTGCAAAATCAAAATTGTCATTCAATGTCTTCCTTGCTCAAAATACACAGGACTTTAATTATACCCCCAACAAGAGACATGTGTTCCGCTTGTCCTCAAACTCTCCGTAATTACAGTAACGAATCTCAGTGCACCTGTAACATTCTCCACACCTGGGAATTTTACCATCATTTGACAAGGGAAAACCAGAGCCAGGTGAGTTCACTTGCCCATGTGAGGCTGGTCCACACTCCCCACTGCACAGCCAAGATCAGCACTTTACAGCATGGCCAGCCCCCCGTCCGGCCTGGCTGCACCCCTGTCCCCCACCCAGGACCCCCGTCCGGCCCGGCTGCACCCCTGTCCCCCACCCAGGACCCCCATCCACCCGGCTGCACCCCTGTCCCCCACCCAGGACCACCATCCTGCCCCAGGTGCCCCCAGCCCTCCCTGAGACAGACACAGAGGGTGCCCAGAGCTGGGTCTCACCCCAGGCCTGGCCCCAGGACTTCCCAAGGTGAACAAGCCCAACTCATTTTCCACTGGACCATAAGTGACCAAAGAGGAAGATCATCTCCCAGCAGGCAGCCGGGCACTGCTCTTCAAGGGGCAGAAGTGCAGTTCTAGAAGTTCTACTCAATTAAAATTAAGCCTTCCCAACCTAAGACGAGATTTCTTTGTGGATGCTGCCCAAGATCCACCAAAGCTTCCTGGCTTTCAGACCCAAAGCTGGATGGCTCTTCTGTTGTTTCTGTGAGACAGAGAGGAGCAGAGTAGAAGGGAGAGCCAGAACTCCCAAGCATTGTTTGCCTCCATCCACCCCAGTAACGGGGTAAAGCACCTGAGTCCCTGCTGGCGACAGTAAGATGGAATTCATGTAACACTCTATTCAATACCCTACCCCTGACCTATGGAGTTCCAGAACACCTTTCAAGGATCACAAAGATCAAAGGGAATTATTCTGTGATAAATCCACACAGATGCATTTGATCTGAAGAAGTGAGTGAAAACATCTGCCTCGTGACCAGGGCTGGCTAACACAGGGAAGGTGTCCTGGGAGCGGAGCAGGGAGAGGTGACCTCATCTCTGGGACTTGAAGCCAGAAACAGAAGCAAAATATCTTTACCAAGAAAAAAATAAAAAAGATAAGTAGCTTATCTTATGAAGAAATTTATCTTATTATGTAAAGTAATCCAAAGAGTAGAAAGTCTAAAGTCTACAGTTGAAGAGCTGAACATTTGTTTTTGTTTTCAAGTGAGCTGTAAGATAGCACTTAACAGATCCAGTATTTGCTACTCCCAGGTACATCACACAAAAGGACCTGAGAACAACAGCCTGGGTCAGTGCAGCATCTTTGGCAGTTGCTGGAAGAGAGATCTCCTTCCCGTGCTTCCTCCTCTACGGGACGGCATCGTAAAATACACAACTGACACCACCTCCTAAAGCACAAACACCTACCAGTCTCCACAAGACAAGCAAAACTCAGCGAAGTACCCAGCAGAGTCTCTGGGAGAGAAGAGGGAGAACTGGCACCAGCAAAGCCTGTAGCAAGACTAACGAGCAGGACAGAGCTAATTGATGTCAGGCTCTGCAGATGCCTTCTCTATAGAAAGAAAGGATGGAGTTTATGGATGGAGTTTATGGATGGGTTTGCCCTGCCCAGGGAAGGAAGCTCCCAGCCTGGAGAAGCTGTTCCTGGGAGAGGACACTGCCTGAGCTGTCAGGGCTCCTGTCCCCGCCTGCTGAGGAGGAGACAGGCTGCACACACCAGCCACGCTCTGCTGTTTACAACTGGAACCAGTGACCCACGTCACCACGTCCCGGCGGCAATAAACGGTGCTCCACGAGATTTCTGATACAGCACGAGCCACCCTACAAACCCCACACCTGCAGTTTATAACCCAGACCGTTGTCAAAGGCCAGACACTTACTTATCTCTCTGTAAACACGATGATAACAAATACCCGCAGCAAGAACTCCAACGTTAAACATAACAAAGAGGTATGTATTTTCCTAGGCACACCAATTACCTGGTAAATGACATCTTGAAAAAGAACTGGAAAAGTGAGTGCAGCATCTTCTAATTCGTTTAGACTACAGTGCACTAGTGTTTCATCCTAGTAAAAAAGAAAAAAAGATATAAGAGAAAGAAAAGATTGTGAAAAAAATGTTGAAAATAGAAGTAGTTTTCTGGATTTTTATGCTCATTTTAAGGCAGGTTTATTTAGTCTGAAAAATTTATTTTTGTGTAAGTGCTGTCAAGATTGAAGATTTCTTAGAATGAACTACACATTTCGTTATTCTTGCAGTGTTTGAAAAATTTCCCATAGAATTGTGTGCTAAGGGTATAATTACAGGAAGATACTTTAATTTTTTTAGGCAATCCTGCCATTCGGTTCAAACCGCATCTCTCCATCTGAGTACTCTCTGCAATCCCACCACCACAGGAAGCCACACCAACTGACACTGCCCATGACAGAATCATGGTCCTGACATCATTAACGGGGTCTGAAACAACTTTCAAAACAGAGACTAAAAGAAATTCTTATAAAGACAAATATATTTTCTATGAATATTTAAGAAAGTAGACTTGTGCCCTGTAAGAATAAGAATGTTCTAAGGATTAAAAGATTCATTCTTGATCAGTCCTGACACAAGACATACAAAGCTCAATTTTCCTATTTATTACATCTCATTTTTCCACACTGGATACAGGAAAGCTTTATGGGGACAGATAATTCTTTGTTTGGGATGATAGAAATTGTAATGCTTTTTTTTTTTAACAGGATGTTAAGTTTTCAAAAAATACAGCCAGCGTTCTATTCTTGCCACTATTAATTTTCCTTCTGAAATGCAGACTGTCTTTAACTAAAAATACTATGAAAATTGTGTAACATTCAACAAGGCCTTTTTGTTTAAAGCAAGCATTACTGACTTCAGCAACAAACAAAATACACGAAACACTGCATCCCCCCTGCTCTTGGTGTGTGTTTATAGAGATATTTACCAAGTCTAGAACTAATGAGAATTCTGGTGTGCTTCTTGTTTTCAGTGGCAGAGCTGGCTTCCTGTTAAGTTGTTCTTCTGTTAGTGGTGGGACGTGTTTGATGAAATAATATCTGAAAAGAATACAGATTGAGCTGTAGAAACATACATGCATTATTTAACTGGGAACGTTGAAGCCCTACGTAATATTTCAAATATTTAAGGCGGCGCAAGAAATAAGTATTTTAAATTGGAAAAAAACCCACATCGATATATACTTATTTTTTAAGTTAGGAGCTTTTGGAATTCATTACCATAATATAAAATTGTTCCAACTCAAAAAAAAAAGCTGTTATCCAATACCCACAATGATCAATTTAATATTTTTAGTACAAATATTTGCACTTAAAGCTGTTATCCAATATCCAAAATGATCAATTTAATATTTTTAGTACAAATATTTGCACTTACGGATCAAAGACTTCCCAGTCTTCTTCATAGGTGGCTTCTGCGTGAGCTGATGAGTAGCCACTGTCTGGAGATACTGGTGCTAAAATTCAATGAAAATGACCGAAACAAAAAATAAAACAAAAAAACCACAAGAGCTAGTCTTATTAGTGCAGTTTTTAAAAGTGAAACTTGGCACTTTATACACGAGTACCTTGAACAACAGCGAAAAAAGCACCTCCCTTCAGCCCCCACACTCTCAGCCCCTGGGTTCATCTGAAGTAGCCCACCCAGCTCCTCGGGAAGCCACCAGAGCCACTGAAGTAGCCAGCACAGCTCTCCCACCTCACATGGACCAGCAGCTCCTCTACTTAGAGGTTAAATTCACCTCCTCAGTGAGAGTCCTCAGACCCCCCAGCGCTACCGAACCCCCGATGCTTTGAGGGCCTGGGGAGGCTTGGGAAGCCACCTGAGCCACTGAAGTAGCCCCCCCAGCTCTCCCACCTCACACGGACCAGCAGCTCCTCTACTTAGAGGCTAAATTCACCTCCTCAACGGGAATCCTCAGACCCCCCAGTGCTACTGAACCCCCGATGCTTTGAGGGCCTGGGGAGGATCTGGATAACTTGAGAATTTGATGCTGGCATCCACAGAGAGGAGAAGCCAAATTTTACAGATACAAATTTTGTTGAGTCTTTCGAAGAAAATGTGGAAGATTAATGTAGGATCTCTGTGTTTCTCATTCACCTCACCATGTTGTTCTAATATAAGATACCAAAATGTTGCAGATTTCTCTTTGGTGATGAGCAAGCCTGAGGTGTGCATTTTTAATGGGGGGAAGTAGGGCTGGGAAAGGTTCAGTATTAATAAAAATGACTTTCTTCTGGAATCTTTGTTTTCATTGAAGAAATGGTACGAGGTCAACTGAGTTGTACCAGGAATAGATGAGACTTGCCAAAACTGTGTCTTTAGTGCGTAAAAGACTATTATGTCTATTAAACATAAAAAGCACTATTAATAGTGTTTGCATGCCCTAAGCAAATGCGGAATATTAATTGGCACAAAACGCAGGTTCTGGGATTTTGCTCAGAGCACAAATCACAAGCAGCTTCAGTACCCAGTCCGAGGCAAATGCCCATCTCATACCTGTGAGGGGCGGCAGGTCCCGGTCGGTCGCTTCCTCCGCTTCCTCCAAGCCGTTGTTGACGGGGGCCCGGACCTGCCCGGCCTGGCTGGTGTAAGCTGCCCCGTTGGTGGATGTGGCGGTGCTTGTCGTGATCTCATCGACCTGCTCCATGTCCAGCTGCTTGACTATTTCTTCAGCTTCAACAGCTTGTCCCGGAGAATCTGATCCTGATGTTCCTGAATGGAGATGTCAGCACACTCCTGGTCATCACCTGTAACCCCTCAGGATGCTCCTCATCAATACTGAGCACACACAAAGTTTCAGAACAACTGAAGGTGGCTGCAGTCGATCATGTTACAAAAATAAGAACCAAAATGAAGACAATAACAAATGCCTTTATGCTTGGGACAAGGAACTTAATACCAGGTTTGTTTTGTTGTTTTTTTTAATAAAAGGTACACCGCTAGATACTTATATCTGTGAAAGAAACGTTTTAATGCCTATAAACTTATTGCTTCTTTTACTATTGATCAACCTTCTAAGAATTAAGGAGGCCTTTTACCTGCTAGTAGGAACTCTTGGTCAGTAAATTAGAATTAAAAGCACACTGCCACTCGAAACAGCATTTTCTTAAAAAAAAATATCTATGATTCTTGGCTTTTAACACTACCAGCTTTATAAATAATACTCACCATTTTTATTTGCTGGTGAAAAAAAATTGAAAACAGGAGAAAATATGGTTCCCAGTAATGTTGTTCGTGGGGGACTGCCCGTGGTAGGATTATCTTCCAATTTTCCATTTTGCTTTACATGTTGGTTTGTCATTTCATAACTTGCAGCTTCTGTAAAAGAAAAGTCATGAGGTATAGTACTATGCTTCTGTTCTCCAGTCACATCCTCTCTTTTATTGTTATCATTCTCACTGAAGGAAAGATCCCTCTTGCTCATGGTTCAGCTGGGTTGACAAAAAAATTGGACTAAGTATCTAATTAAAAAAAAAAAAAAAAAAAAAAAAGCTAGGAAAGATCCCTCTTGCTCATGGTTCAGCTGGGTTGACAAAAAAATTGGACTAAGTATCTAATTAAAAAAAAAAAAAAAGAAGAAAGAGCTAGCAATTTAGTATCAACATAAAACCAAAATGCCAATTTTAAACACCATCTTAAGTATAACACCTCAAATTAGGAAGCACTCCCTGTTTATAAAAGTATGCTATAGTATGCAACAACCTAAGATTAGAATATTTACAAACCTCCATTCATTTGACTTTTCCGCCGTACTCGAGAGATCTGTTTATTAGGCTTTTCTCCTGTCTGAGGTGTGGATGTAATCAAGTTGTTATCGATATCCCGTTCAATTCTACTTCTTTTTGCAGGATTTTCTCTTTCTTCCTTAAAACAGAAAAGGGGAGAAAAAGAAACATACTGAATAGTGCCTCTTTCCCCACTGAATACCACCAGAAAAGGGTAGCTGTTTGGGAAAGTTTCACAAAGATCCATCTATTGTTCCACTCCCAGATGCAGAATTTGTATCTGTCCAGCTGGAATTTTAAACTCCTTTAAACTGACACAACTCAAGGTTGAAAAAAGCGAAGTACCGGGAAAGAAAACTGTACTTCTACAGTAGAACAACTGTCTTTAAGTCCTATTTCACCGCATAGCCAATTTGTAAGTATTTAACTGCTATGGAGTTGGTGAAAAGTAGAGACAAGGCAAATAAACTATCTGAAACTTGATTTCTCTGCCTGTTAAACGTACGGGAAGGAAAGTGCACAACAGCGTCCCACGTGAAATTCCCAGTGTGGAACCTGCTGCTGCCCCGTCCACGTCAGACAGCCCACGGCAAAAGGAGCTGCTGAAACGCTGTAGGCGAGGACTGACCCAAAGGTTCTTCTCACCTCCAGGGAAATGCCTGCTCTCCCTGTGGCACTTACATCAGTGATACAGAACCAAACAGTTTTGTATATTTTTCTGTGCACGAGTATATGTGTAGGCACACAAGTTTAAGACAGGTTTCTTCCCCTTTTTCCCCAAAGCACCTACTATAATTCAATAAAATAGCAATCTGGTATCTAAAGCATCACCATATAGAGTACATGGAAATGTAAGGTGTGAGACAATGCAAAATAAATGGAACTAAATATCAAAATAAATAACAAGGCCACAGACCATATAAAAGCTAATTAAAATTTCAATTTTAGAGTCACAGTTTTACCTTTCTGGAGCAGCAGTTTCACACTTTAAAAAGAAAAGAGGAAAAACAATTTGTGTGCTCCAAAAATACTTTCAGAAAAATTAAAGCCAATGCTCCCAGTACAGTTGGTAAAAGAAATACAAACAACCATGGAAATGCACTGACATCCTTATCAGAAGACAAGTGACCACCACCAATCCCCAGAGCTCCCTACTGGCAAGAGCCTTCCCCACCAACCTCGGTTAGAACAGCCTAATTACTGCCACTCAGAATTAACAGTAATGTATATACCATAAATCTGTATCACAAGAGTGGGCGGATGGCTCCCTGAGCTGGTAAAAGAACAGTAATGTGTCTCATCTTCTAGGTCATTTGTTCAAATGTTCAACACCGAGGAAAAAAAGGGAGAAATTAATTAACTTCTAATAGCTAGCTATTGGCCTTCACAAAATGAGCTGTGCTCTCATTCTGCTTTAAGGAAAACAAGGGCAGAAACGTTACGAAAATGACAATGGAAACAGGGAATCTGGCTGAAGGTACCAGCAGAGGCATAAAGAATTCTGCATCTGGAGAGCCCTATTGTCCTCCAGAGGAGGAGCCATCCTGGTGTGGTGGGAAAGCTCACACTGCCCTGTGCAAACTGCACTAGTGAACACAATTCGAAGGCAAAAGGTTATATGAAGTTATTGTGCTATTTGGTTTATCCACTCAAATTTTATTGCACAGATATAGAGTTAAATCTACCTTTTATATGTATTTATATAATGAACTGTTTGAGTTCTATGATCTATTCAATTCAATATAACCTATTATTACCAATACCTGTGTCACAAGGAGCATGGCAGTGCAATTTACGACAGTGCAATTTACGACAGTGCTAGAACCCTACAATTGACCAAGTTTAGAGGAACTTACAATGGCAATATTACTGATATTAACATTTAACAATTGTAATGGTCCTTCCTGTACACACAGGTGTATCAGATTTGTCACTCTGTAGGTGACCAATCCTGTTGTGCACCCCATACCATCGCTGACCCTGAGGTAGCAGATGATCTCAAGATCTGACCTACCACCACCCATGGTTGAAGAGCCACATTCCAGTCTCTGCTTTCTCTGACTAAAGAGCTATCGTGATTGCTGAGGTTTTGTTTGTTTAAGGAACATTTCTACCACAACATCTTTCCAATAGCAGGTGAGTGACCTAGAGCTACGATGGAAACTGTTGGGACATACAGAATCACAGAATCACAGAATCTTCTAGGTTGGAAGGGACCTTAAAGATCATCTTGTCCAACCGTCAACCTGACTGACAAAAATAGACACCCACACAACAAACAAGGAACATCATCACTAAACCAGACCTCCCAGCACTACATCAACCCGTCTTTTGAACCCCTCCAGGGATGGTGCCTCAACCACCTCCCTGGGCAGCCCATTCCAATGGCTGAGAACCCTTTCAGTGAAAGTGGATGAAGAAAGTGGATGAAGACACCTACTGCCAGAAATCCTACACCCTCGGTGGCCATTTGGATTTTAGCATCCTCACAAAGGAACTCCTATGCAAGTGGTACCCATACACCATCTCAAAGAGTTCTAACGTTTCCATGGCAACCACAGACCACTTTGTTAAGTCATTAAGGCTCTGGAAGAGCGCCCGGCAGTATCGGTATCGTGCCATGCTAATGCCACTGGAACCTCTCCAAGCCCCACTACTTGCCCAGGAGAGGACATGAAAGGAAACGGGAGAAAAATGTGGATATTTTCTATTAAAAAACATGTCGAGAAAAAAAAAAAGAATGAAGTGTAATTCAAAGATTTGGGAGAGGAGGAGAAGAGAGAAAGTTAATAAAACCTTAGAGGGACAAAGGAGAGGAAAACCAGACATATTTCCCTTATCTTAAAATTCCAATGTGAGATGTTTTGCTCAGATTTCAGCGTGTTCTTGCAGGGGTTTTGCAGCCAAACGGTTGCATTGCTCTGCTACAACACAGCGTGCTACAATATCGATGCTGAATGTAAAATACATCAATTGTCCCGGTTTAATGAAAAATAAAACATAAGCAGATTTCACTGTGTATTTTTACTGAACGATTTCTTTGCTGGTAGCTCAGTGTTTCTATGATAGGCAATTAACACATGCTATGAAATATCAAATTTCAGTATATTTTTGACAATGTAAGAATACACTGTTACTTCAATTAAAATTATCTCAACTTCAGCTTATTGCAAAGTTATCGTTTGAACACTTACTCAAAAAACAAGAAAATACTTCTGAATCTATATCATAGTTTTATTTAGCAAGTAATTAATCTGGGATATGTTTTAATTTCGTTATGACTTCTTGGCTATTCCTCTTTAAAGTTTACAGCTATATAATGTCAATATCTGGACTGCTAGGAATGAATGAAGCAGGATTTTTTACAGAAAAAAAACCAAACAGATTTCTTAAGCAATTGCAAGGTTATAGTCAGCCTATGAAAGTAATATATATAATGTAAAATTCACCCTGAACATGGAACAGGTTTTAACTTGTGAAGATGAGTAAAGTTCTGATTTCTGTCTGGATGAAGACAGATGAGGTTACTGGTTTAGCCCCAGCAGTGACTGAACTGGCCCCACGAAGCGGGGGCAGCGCTGACTGCAAGAACCCCCCCAGTGGTCCCAGGAGTGTCATCACAGTAGAATTTATGGGGTTAGAGCTTTATCGATTGATGGACTCCTAAACAATTTTGAATAAAAATGCTAAAAATATTCACAAATTTATGTTTACAGCCTTGCTTTTCTTAGTTGCCAGTGCTGGTAATTCCCAAATTCAAAGAATCCTTAAACCGGAAATTAAAAATCTACTGAATTTATGAGTCACTATTTTCACAAAGGAATACTTAGGTAATAAATCTTGTGATTTATCGGATTGTCTCAACTATGCCTACAATTGATTCCTGTGGGGTTGGAAGGCCTGCTTTTTGGTTTGATTCGGGGTTTTTTTAAAAAAATATCTGTTACCTGACACAACCGTCACGGGTACTTTTTCTTCTAGTTCTTTGCAAGAAGGTTTTGCTTCCACCACGACACATTTGCTTATTCTTAAGAGAAAATGGTTTTAAATCAAATTTAACTGAATATGACCTAATTAAAAAACAACCCACTGATGGCGTACCTTGGGTGTGCTTCCTTTAATAAACTTTTTGATCGAAGACAACAAGCCGGTTTCATTTTTCTGAGGTTTTCCTCCGCCACCAGGTAAGCTCTCCTCCACCTCCGAGTGTTTCCTCTTCGCCCTCAGAGCGCGTTGGGTGTGAATTTGATTCGCCTGCTGAGAAGCTTTCCGCGTTCTCAGCCTCATCTTCATGTGTAACACATGTAAAGCTGGGAAAGGGAGAACCAAGAATACTTAGTCAGTGAAGAAATCATGAATCCAAAAAATGCTCTAACACTGACAGTGTTCTGGCACACGGAGCTTTTACAGCCATATATATGGCTTCATTTAAATCAACGAGAAGAGCTATTTAATTTAAAGCATAACATTGGCAGAAGAACAAATGAATATAATCCAGCTATGGACACATCTAACCATTAGATCAATGAGGTTTCTGCATAACCTCCAATCGGAGTAGTAGAACAAAAAAATCTACCCGCTTTTAAGACGCAAAGGGCCATGTGGTGTCTCCAGCACCAAGTGACTGGCCTCAACCACCCAGGCAGTCCTTTTCAGCTCTCTGCTCCTCACAATACTGCACTTCAAGTCTCTACATTAAATTCGAGATGAGGCATAAATCTAAATGTGTGTCAAGTGTTCACAGAAGAAGACCTGGTAAATGAGCCTGTGCATTTGGGATGGGTGAGGACACAGCAGCCAAGCGAGGAACCTGGGGAACCTACCAACCATCCTGGGGAACCTACCAACCATCCTGCGGAACCTACCAACCAACCTGGGGAACGTACTGAGGAATCCTCATCACAAGTGTATCTGGGAAAGAGATCAGGCCGCAGGACGACTCGGGCAAGGGCATGACTGATCACAGCAGAGTGAACCTCCTGCTTGGGTTGATTTGATTGGGACAACTCATGTGCTTAAAATTATGCATGTATTGGATCAGGAGTAGAGAAAAAAAGTAGCAAGAAATCCCTCTGAGTTGTAATGCACAGAAATACCAGCAACAGAGTAATATACATTTCCTACCTGAAGTCATGACAAAAAGCTTTTTTTTTTTTTTTTAAAAAAAATACCAACCATCCTGGGGAACCTACCAACCATCCTGCGGAACCTACCAACCATCCTGCGGAACCTACCAACCATCCTGCGGAACCTACTGAGGAATCCTCATCACAAGTGTATCTGGGAAAGAGATCAGGCCGCAGGACGACTCGGGCAAGGGCATGACTGATCACAGCAGAGTGAACCTCCTGCTTGGGTTGATTTGATTGGGACAACTCATGTGCTTAAAATTATGCATGTATTGGATCAGGAGTAGAGAAAAAAAGTAGCAAGAAATCCCTCTGAGTTGTAATGCACAGAAATACCAGCAACAGAGTAATATACATTTCCTACCTGAAGTCATGACAAAAAGCTTTTTTTTTTTTTTTTAAAGAAGAGCCTATGCTTATCACGATAGGAATCAGAACCTGCCTTTCCACAGTGCAGGTATCTTATTGCTGAATAGAGAGAATAAATAATCTATAACATTAAAGTACAAGTAAAGTCACAACAGCTCTCTCATTTAGGAAAAGACAACAGACATGATTCGCAAACACAGAACTAAGGTGATCACATTTTTAAAAAACAGTCCGAAACCTGTACCCAGTTGAAGTTGCTCACAATTAGATAAATCTCAATCTCAAATGAAAGGTGTTCAAGCCCACGAAGAATGACATAACTACTGACACTATTTTTAGAAGACTTAGCAAAAAAAGTACACAATTGGTATCATCAAGAGTGAAATATTTTAGTTACACACAATATTTGTTTTAGTTGCCAGCAAACACAGGATTTCGTTTCTCAGATGTACATGTGCAGTGTTTTCCATCAGCAGTGAATACAACGACTGGGTACAGACAGGAAAAGGACAAGTCAAGATTCTTAAATGACTGAAGTGATTACAGCAAATATCTGATATTTGAGGTGTAAGGAAAAACAAGAGAAACCACAGGCTAAATTTATAAAACCTGGTTCCTTAGAAACTTGCGCCCTCTAGTAACAGAAGCACTAAAACTGGAGTCCATGTGAGTATCCTTTCACTATGAATATTGGCAAAAGAATTTGCATTTCTTTTAAAGGAATCTACTGTATGTGGAAAAAAGCCATGCAGAGAAATAATGAAAAAAGAATCCCTAAAGATTTTAATCCAATTTTCTGTTCCTACTCCTTGCCGCTAGAAAAATAAAAAGATAAAAATAACATTCTTATACAAAGATGTAAAATAAATATGCCTGTTATCAGAACTTGCATCTCAACTTCTCTTCCTTACAAACTGCTGCCAGATTAATTTTCTGGGTATGATTTATGGTGGGAAGGAGCCACCCCAATAGACACAAGCTCCTATTGTACTGCTGTACAAATCAGGAGGATCTAATTATAAAATTGAAGAAATTATCAAACATCAATGGACAGGATGGTCCAAAGACACCTTAAAACATATAATATATTTTCACTTCAGAAATATTGAGGAAAGCATTACTTTTTAATCAACATTGTGTGGATTAAATCACGTACTTTAGGTTAGTCTGATTTACCAAAATCATATTATCCCAAGCGGCTGAAAAAAGAACAATTACATTGAAGGTTTCTCAGCATTCTCGCATGTGGGAGATGAACTAATTCACAACCCTAGCAGGAAATACAGCCCAAGACAGAAAATGGCCATAAAAACTTTTAAACCAAATATTTTAAATACATCAGTGTTTCAAGTTAAATAGTTAGCAATTTGTTGGAATGAAGTTAGAGAAAAACACCACTGTTTCACCATGTTAAAAATATTCTTAAAACTCTCCAAGGAGCTCTAGTCCCTCCCGTGCTTTGGAAAGGGAATTTTATTAGTAGTATTATCAACCTGTTCAGGAATTATTTTGGTTGAATTATAACTCTCTGAGACTCTTCAATCTGTACCCTGGAAGGAGACCCATACAGCTCACAGCCAGCGATCTCGGGAGCGAGCAGAGGAGTGCAGACAGCAGAGTCATGAACACCTCAACCATCCCAGCTCCAACCCAATTCCAGCAGGGACACCAGGCCCCCCCACGCCTCCAACACCAGCCCTGGCCCATCCAGGCTGGCTCACCACTATTTTCTCTGTTCCCCAGGTTGAGTGGATTTTTGTTTGCAATCCCTCCTGCCGGGAAGCCCCGCACAGATACAGAGCAAGGAGGGGGCCTACTTCCCACCATGGCTGGTGGTACAGGAACCATAGTGATGCTGAGGAGTTGAGAGGTGGGAAAAAGGGAATAAAATCAGAAAGATATAGGAGAGAAGGTACAAGAATATGCAACCACCAGAGCAAACTTCTCAAAGGTACTTTAAGATATGGTTCAATGGCACAAGGGAACCGCTGCTTCCTCCTCTGCCTCCTCATTTCTTTACCCACACTCATTTCAGAGTCTGTCTCCTCCCAGAGACCAGGCTGGCAAACTGAGCCAACGAGCATTTTTATGCCAGTTTAATCAGTTTACAAAAAGAATCAACTCAGTCAGGACTCCCTAACATATACCTGTGAGTATATGTTATACACACATACACAAACGTATACACAAGTGAGATTCTGAATTCTCATTTGCCTAGTTAAAAAAAAACTCTGAAAGGTAAGAATAGAGTCACACCGAGCTAATTCAAGATTTTGATTGACAATAGATAATCATTTACCATGGGGAATTAGGAATTAAGTAAATGAACACTAAAATACAGCGGTATTTAGTATATTCAAAGATGTAAGCCACAGTCATTAAAATGTCACTTGTACATTTTGAAAAACTGGAAAGCATCCTGCAATGTGACTTTGTAAAACACCTGTCTTTTAAAATATTCTGGTGAGAAATCCCAGATGACTGTCATATCCTGGGAATTAAACAAGACTACAATAAAAACAAACCTGTGTAAAAAGGAATTAGACAAAATTGTAATACATTGAAAGGAGACCGGCACTAGTGAAATTCCAATTTGAGAATGAAAATATTACTTAAAATTTGCTATACTACAAGTTGCCTGATTTTTCTACAACTGAGACGAGTCCGAGGCAGACAAAAGATGAACTGATTTAATGATGTCAATGGCGAGGATGTGTTTATCCAGCAAGGAACCCTTCAGCTCATCTCTACACTATTGCCAGAGAGTTCCTTGGCTCATTCCACCTCCTGGGTATCAAGCCTCAGGTTATAAATATCTCTAATGGACTTAGCAACAGTTCCCTACAATCCTCTCACTGACACAAGTTTGCTTTCCCAACGCCCGATACATTTGGCAGGGGACGGTTTTTACTTCAATGATATTTAGATTTCTTTCCTGAAACAAGCAGGACCCAGACTACAATACTCCAGCACACACTCTCTCAGTCAAAATAATCAAGTCTAAACATGTACGGGCATTTCCTTCCTCAAACGCCTACAGTGGGGATTCCACCACAGCGGGCCCGAATAAATGCCTGAGTGGCCAGGCCTCCCAGTGGGCCCCGTTGAGCGGGGACAGGCCGGTGGCCGGGAGCCGGGCTCAGACCGGAGCGAGTGGCTGGATGGTCACGGCTCATGGGATGGGACAGAACCACCCCCGGCAGCCCCTGCCCGGCAGCTCTCCCTTCGGCACGCTCGCTTTTGGGACCCCGTGCTCCAAATCCTCCCGCTGGGCAACAGCGCCATTCCTTCACATCCCAAAAGCTGACACTGAAGCAGAAAAACCTCAGTTCTTCCAAAGAGAAACACAAGGCAAAGAGAGACTAAATGTAATTCTCATCAAACGATTTGGGAGACAGGAAAATAAGGAATGAAGGAGCTGTGAAAAAGCAGGAGCTGAACAAGCTACAGCTGCAATAAACCCCCGTTTTCCCCAGTCCCCACACACTCAGCTGTCACCTTCACTACCCTGTGAATTATCACTACCCCTGTCACCCATTACCCTGTAAATACTGTTGTTATTCCATGGCCCAGGTACCACGCACCTACAGGAAAGAAATTCCTGAGAATGACTCATATTTCTAAATAAGAACATGAAATTTTCAGTTAGGGGTGATTTATTTCCCCACCACATCTGGTACTACCGTTTTATCTGTTTTCCCCAAAACTATTAAAAGAAAAATTAGGTGAGGCACACATAATCACAGGGTTTAAGGCTTTTTGATACAAGAAAAAGTTTAAGATGGTAAAAGAACAATAGTGAGGAACAATAGGAAGAGAGAACTGACAAGAAAATGTAA